TGTGGTTTTAGTCGGTCCGAGTCCGACACACCACCCCGCCGCAAACCCCGGTGGGTTGACGGTCCGAGGGGATTTCCACACGTTAAAAAAAAAAAAGGGCTTGTGTCAAGTTTTTCTTCTCTCTGCAGTTCTGCATATAGTTTTCTACCTTAGTCGGCTCTTACGACACCCACGGGATGAATAGGGGTGGTGACACTCTGTATTCTTATTCCGTCATCACACGGACGAAGAACGATACATCGTATACAAGTACCATACTGTTATCTCTGTGAAACTTCCGCGTCGACCCAATCTGAACGCGTTGTGACTATTTACATTCAAAACAAAGAAACATCAGTGTTTTTACATCTGACGTTTCTTTGTTTTAAAAACAAAGAACAAAACTGACATTACATTAACTACTTGGATTTATATGTATATGGCAACATTGGGTGCTTGTGACGTTCTTGTAATAAAGATATTCTTTACAAAGAGTTATTGAAATATCCGGAGGGCCAAAACGCCCCATATGTCTGGTCCCCTCCCCAGAGGGCACTCAGGTGACCCACATGCTCGTTACACAGTTTTTTTTTATTCCTACGGCTGATTACTATTTTGAATATAAAATATCCTATGTTCCTTTTCTTTACTTTTAGCTAATATGCTAAATTTCATTATAATTAAAATTGACTAGATCAGAGGCGTAAAACTGTAACAAACAAACAAATTTACTTCATTTATAAGATTAGTTAGGACTAGTTAGTTCTCGCGACTTCGTCTATACAAAATCTCTCCAAAACAAAATAGCATTTTTTTATTTTACCATCTCCGATTATTAATTGCAACCATTTGATCTCGAACCCGACGCTCTAGTCATTAGCCACCGCTTTACACTCGTGTAGCCTTTTCGCGCGGCTCCGCCCGCGTGTTTATCAGTAATCGCGGTAAAAAGTACCTTATTCCTCAAGAATCAAACTATCTCGCTACCAAATTTTATCTAAATCGGTTTAGCAACTATTGATTCCTCATTCAAACTGCAACCCTCCCTTTTCACCCTCTTAAAGGATGATTTCTGGGATAAAAACTATCCTATCTCCTTTCCCGGGACTCAAACTAACTCTATACCAAATTGCATGTAAATCGGTTCAGTGGTTTAAGCGTGAAGAGGTAACAGACAGATAGACAGACACACTAGCATTTATAATATTAGTATTGATGTCTCGTATGTATGTATAGTCTTTAGTTGATTAGATAACTAAGATTCCGCGGGTCAGATTCAACATCAACTAATCAAGTATATTGGAACGAAGTTTCTTATCGGGTGTTACACGCTCTGAACTAATGGGAACGAGACCGAAAAATATGAAACAAGACTTTTTGCCGACATTTCGTTACGACCGGGGATCCATAGACCCCTCACGCCGTTTTTATAATATGATTTTTTGTTATGGAGGGTTTCCCTGCTTCTCACTTTTAAACTTCAATTTTTTTTATGGTGTAGAGTCTGTGGTCTGCGTAGTGCACTACCGCCCTTTGAGTATTCCTCGAGTTAGGAGAAGAGGCCTATGGTATCTTCACTTACTAGGTAAGGTGAGGTGAGGTCTGTGAAGTCGTGATATCCCACCGGTCCAGCCGGTTTATATGAAGCTAGACAAGCTCGAATAATTCAATTTCACATCTCGTTCTGAATATAATACCTACTTTTATTTCAATATGAATATAAATTAAAGGTAGTATAAACACTTTACTGAATGAATTAAAAGTTCCCTCTGTTTTGTATAAACACGTAAACACTAAGGTCAACCTGTATCCAATCACCAACTTTTTTTCTAAATAATAACTTAAATGGCCGTCAGAACTCAAGTTAGGCAGAGTCTTTGTTTGTCAAATTAAGTAAGCAGACTGCTGATAAGTGTACTTATAAATACATACTAAGTATAAATTACATCCAGACACAAAACAAATGATCATGCTTTTCACACAACTATTTATCCTGGGTGGGAATCGAACCCACGACCTCTGACTAAACCAAACAACAGGTCAATCAATACCAAACAAATTAATTCGTTGAAATTACTTTGGCTGTATTTATTTACCTTATTGCCAAAACCAAACAAAAGTGAGCTCAGATGGGGATTAATTTTAACGTAGGCATTTTTATTACTTTTTTTCATAATAAAATACATATTTTACGTTCAAACACGACTAATGTCGGGCTCCATTTTATTGTAGTTAACTAACTTGTACAATTTTATTTGCCGTGGGAAAAAAAAGCTTTCTTTTTCTATAACATATATGTACATAAATCAAATATTTATAACCTGTATTCGAGCTCACGTCGGTGAGCGTTGCGCCTGACACCGATGGCGACGGTGTAGTTCCGGATCCGAAAGTAGCATCCTTATATCACATTTAAATATGAGTGAAACCGTTTATCCTTTATAAATATATGTTATTCGTGTCAGTACTTCTTTTTCAAATTCCAATCGCTAAACATTAAAAGTAAAACTCACATCTACAGAAATTCCTTGCAGTCAACATATACATCTGCGAAATCGAGACCTATTAGTGACGTCACAAATGTTTGCAACATACAAACACACACACACATACACATCGACACACATAAACGGGCACACCCGCCATAATTGGCATTTCCTCATAACGCATAACACTCCGCCTGTATCACATGAATGAAATGTACTGGTTATGATCGAATGCTCATTGGTTACAATTTGAATGTTATGTTCACTGTCAGACATTGATAATTTAAATTATTATCTAGTATCCTTGTAGAAACAGGAAATATAGTACAAACAGTAAATCAATATTTAAGGAACTTACCAACGTAAGTGTTGTGGAAATTGAATTAAGAATGTTTTCAATAAGAAATCGTGGCACCAATCAAGGAACTGCTAAGATACTTTCATAAGGGAGATACATTCAAATGCTTGGTCGGTAATTGAAAGTAACGGTGTTATATAGTGGAAGTATTTTCCTTGTCATACCTAAGAATACATTTTTAAGAACTTAAAAAAAAAAACACTTATATAAGCTACATATGTATGGGCTGAAGGAAGTGTATCGTAAAATTCGGACGCTTTTTGGGAGTACAAATTTATCACAAGAAGGTATGTTTGAACAGCTGTTCTGACAATGACAAAAAGAGGATTCTATGAAAGATATGCGAAGCGTGCAAATCTATTCATATATAAATACTTGAACTGACTGATTTGTCAACGCAGTCTAAACCGCTGGGGCCACAAACTTGACAATTTGGCAGCTGATCCTTGTTATGTTTTGGCAAATTTCACCCCTACATCGTTATTTTTGAAGTTATAAATAAAAAATAATCATTGGACAATAGTTAGTAATTTATAACACGGTTTATATGTGTTTGTAAAGTTAATTATTTTAAATCCCAGTTAACTAAACTGGGATTTTAGTGTCGTTTTTATTAATTTATTTAATTCATTATGTCTGAATATAATAATTTATATAAGTGAGTAAAGAAAGGTAACATTTAATCTTTAAAACAATTTACTTTAAAGTATCGTTAAAGTAAATTACTTTTAGAACTGGATTTCTTCGCCGTATACAATGATCGATTAAAATGTGTCTTGGCCGGTCATTGTATATTAGTTAATGCAGTAATTATCATTTAGTAACTTTTTAGCTAATGAGACGTCATTACCAGTAGCAAATATCGTTAAGTAGCACAAATATTCAATCAACCTTAGGAAAAATATTGCCAACTATTCAAATTGTAAATTGCCAACCGCAAATTTTCACTAACAAATGAAAGAAACCTGTTTCTTTCAACTAAACAGGCAGTGTTCCGAGAACTCGACTACCGACATTATTTATGCGTGTGCGCCGGTAAAAAAATAAGATGTATTAAAGTGATACGTATTGCGAGAGTCGCCAGCTGACACCATACAAATATAATGAGCAAATAATAATAACAATTCTGCATTTACAATTATTTCACTTAAGGTTAGTTAAATCAATTTTAGATCCTATTACAACGGAATAAGGGTCAAAACAAGCGCATGTTCACTGACGCAGAGTTAACAGTATTAACATGCGGGTCCGTAGTGACGCGTTATGTGTGAGCGGAATTAATCATTGTCGATATAGTTTGTTGATCCTACGAATTTTGTAAGGAGTCTTGGTCCTTGAGTTCTAACGCTTATTATCGATGTAGTAAGACCGAAGTTAAAATTTACTTTACACTAATTTTTGTCTAAAGTTATTTTTCTGTCACATTCGAACTTTTTTTTGGATGAAAAGTACCTTTTATAGTACACATTGTTAGGTTTGCAAAATTTTATGATAACTGCATGAACGGCAACTCTGCGATTAAAATAAGGACAAACAAATATTGTCCGTTACATATATGTATAATACGTTCACTGTGTTTCCTGATGTAATAAAATCATCGGTATCGGTAAATAACTTTGAGAAGAATATTAAATTTTATATGTATACACACACACACACACACACACACACACACACACACACACACACACATTAATATTTTTTTTTTCTTTAAATCAAGTATGTCGATGTGTCAGTATCAGGTCTCCATTGACGCTCAAGTGTATTTATCAATGTTAACTTGAAACCGGTTGAACAACAATGAAGCGTTTAACAATTAATAAACAACTACGACAATGACATAATATCAGTGACTTCCTTTAACTCACGGTGAAGTCGATAAACGAACAATACTAATTACATCTACAAAGGTATAAGGACAAACAAGAAGGTAAAAAAACAATAAAAGGAATTAGAAACGCATTTCGTTTTCACTTTCAATTGTTTAATAATATTGCGTGGCATGCCGTTCTATTGAAAATTCTTAGAGAATATCGATAGTGTTTATCGATAACGCGCGTGGCAAGTCACTAATGCAATCCCACTCTCTGCGTACGGACAGCAGGCCCCTCACTTCTCGATCGTCAGTCAGTGTAGCTCGTGCCGCGATACAAAACGTATTTTATTGCAGCGTTATTATGAGGCTCGCAGCGCTTTTTGCGCTGCTCACTGTAGCTGCAGCCTCTGAGTTAACGCAAGTGGATCATGTGCGACAAAAGTTTTACAATTTAGAACAAGAACTGTGGGCCAATGTGACTGACCCTCAGTGGAGAGACGCCGGCCTTGGAGGGGATGTCGAATTGACAAAGGCGTTCGCCGCGTTCAATGAACACGTCGAGTCGATACCCAGGATTAAGAGAATAACGCTCAAGTCGTGGCTATGGACTAAGGTGTCTGAAAAGCTGGTTATCATCGATGGATTCTATAAGAACTTTATGGATTTTGTGATGCGTCAGGCATCACCGGCCAGTGTGCCATCTCCTGTGAGAGATTGGTTGGATATGGCGGAGACAGTCCTCATGGATCCGAGAGCGTCTGTAGCGCAGGCTGTGAGGAAACTCCACGGTTATTTAGAGCACGCAGACATGTTCCGATCAGTTTTACAGGTAATAATGGTGACTAATAATTTAAAAACGACGGTAAAAGTACCTAACATTTGTAAATATATAAGGCGTTGGAGAAACGTCGGGCAGTGTCAATGACCAGTATAATAATATTAAACAATCAAACTGTTTCCATTTTCTGAGTAAAACATAACATGTTTAACATAATACGTACCTCGTCACATACAATACATATTTTGTTATATACTTGTTGACTAATCAAATTTCATTAGCGTATTTGCTATGCCCTCATTACTGTCTCAAGCTAAATAATCACAAAGTCTGACTAATCAGAAACGAATAAAAGACATATTTTATACGTCGTCAGTAATTGTTGAGTCGTTGACGTCAGTAATTGTTGAGGTCCAGCCCTTACATCCAGTCCCTCTGTGTAAACAATACTGCATTAAAATTCAACAAATTAAACGGGAAGATGCAAGTTTTACAAATGACCGTTTAAGGAAAAATTCCTGCATAAAATCTATGTTTTTCTTGTATGCATGTAACAATCAATGTTTGTCCGAGCATCTTGTTTCATGTTACACTTTCATTTAGAATAATGTTTACGGTACGGTAAAGAGGTGATATCATTAGTGGAATAATTAATTACAGTTAATTAAACAATGAACCTAACACCTTCGCACTGTGCGCTCCTATCTGTTACCTACAAACGGTTGCCTTGATTCCTAAAAGGTTTGAGAAAGTTTCAACTGTTTACAAATAAAATATTTATTAGCGTCACTGAGTAATGATGCGGTTTCATTGTTACGATTCGAGTCCAGACTATATAGAGAATAAACAATCTGACTTATAGTACAAATACGAAACGTATTAGAAGTTAAACGGTATTTGCGATATCAGTAGTTGTTTTATATTTAGTTGCTAGTGATTCTGGCTGCTGTGCCAGAGGTTGTGTTGTTTTATATAAGAGAGGGCAAACGAGCAGACGGGTCACCTGATGTAAAGTGCCTACCATCGCCCATGACCACCTGCAGCTACGAGTATAATGTATTCAGACGGCCGTGTGTGAGATGTTTCGAGTTATTATTATTAATACCGTGGTAAATATACAGATATCCACAATATCAATCTTAAGCATTTGATACTAATTCGTTTGTTTGTGACTTTTGAGTAAACTGTAAATATGTCACTAGAACATGATAATACAAATTAAATAATGAACATACTTTTATGTGTATATAACAATACTATAGAGATACATAAATATTCCATAAAAATACAATAATATGAATATTACACCAGATGTTATACATAGTTCAATTCTTTCATCATCATCAGACCTATCGCAGTCCACTGCTGGACATAGGCCTCTCCCATTGCACACACACACAAATATTTACCTTATGTCACTATTCAAGTATGTCTGTCAAGCCTAACGTTAGATACGTCACAGATTATAACAACTAGAGGGAAAATTCGGGAATGATAAGAAATCGCAAATATTCGGGCAAACAGAAAAAAAAGGACGTTAAATACAAATAAACTCGGGCTTCTTAAAATAAAACGACTGATGAAATTTAAAAATCTGTGGCATTAAGAACGATATAAGTTATGTGTTAATATCATATTATTTAGTCGGTAGAATATTTGAATGGTTAGGTAAACTTTTGGCTAATAAGGTTCGTGAACATGTAACTGTGGGTAAAGATAAATTATCTACATAATGATACTAGTATCTGATATACTGATATTAGTATCCTATGTGAACTACAGACATACTTAATGTCCTATAGTGATTCACGGTTAATGGTATGCTAGCAATTTTATCATATGTATTTTAATCTTTTAGCATAATCAAGTTTTTAATTTCTAATTATTGCAGGACGAGGATGCTGAGGTATGCGACCTGCAATTGTCTGCACACCAGTTGATTTTTGACATGTACAACACCATAGCGCTGACTGAAATCAAAGGTTACGCCATGATGCAGTTCTCGTGGATGCTGCTCAGGATATATGGGAGAGGTAAGATATAGATACGCATACGATATAGATAAGCAAAGCATTTAATTGTAACTAGATTTGATGCTCTATAACCATGTGTGCAATCCGTGTGGTGACGGATTAAGAATACAGAGTGTCACCACCCCTATTCATCCCGTGGGTGTCGTAAGAGCCGACTAAGGGAAAAAACTACGCAGAACAACAGCACTGCAGAGAGAAGGAAAACTTGACACAAACTCTATAACAACCCGTCTGGCCAGCGTGGTATAGTAGGCCAAAACCTCCTTTCCAAGGAGAGGCTTATGTCCAGCAGTGGACTGTTAAAGGCTGTTGATGTGATGTGATGTGAACCATTGATATTTCAGAATGTATTATTTTACTTTACTAGTGTACAGGGGCTAGCGTAAAACGGCGCAGTTCGTTACGATGACTTCATAAGAGAGCGAAAACATTTTCACTGTAACATATTAGTGATTTCACTCGCATTTTGTTTTAATTACAACTTTACATAGGACTCATCATTGATAGAATAGGAGTTACAAAAGGATATATATAAAAAACCCCTATTCATCCTGGGTGTCGTAAGAGGCGACTAAGGGAGCAAACTATACGCAGGACAACAGCACTGTAGAGAGAAGGAAACTATACCAACCCGTCTGGCCAGCGTGGTATAGTAGGCTAAAACCTCCTTTCTAAGGAGATGCCTATGTCCAGCAGTGGACTATTAAAGGCTGTTGATGATAATGATGATATTTAAAAAAGTTACAGCATGCAATATTAATCGTTGTTGATGAAATGTTTTAAAATAAAACTATTACCTAATAATATATAAATATATTACCTAAAATAATATAATTGGAAAGTAAAACTTAAAACACATTTTTTTTATTTGTGTATTTTTAACATGGAACCCGTTAGCATTTTGCTGCTGTGCATGAATAACATGATGTTAATTTTTGTCTTATGAATGAGTCAGTGATAAAACCACTGCTGATACGTTTAATTAAAATAGCTTGTGGTATTACGTGCGTAAATTATACATTATACATTATTATTACAAAACAAGCAGCAAACAAATAACTGGAATGCCTATTTAATTACTGAACAAGAGAAGTTTTCCTTGAAGCCAGTTTTCATATTTTATATAAAGGTGTTCACGGGGCAGTGCGTCCCCTCTAACTGACCGATCTAAATGGACCTGACTCGCCTTAACTAACGGTAATCGGGACACAACGGATAGGCACGAGTTGTTTATCAATAGGATGGCAATTGACAAAACCAGAGATAATTTAGAATCGGAAAAATAAATCATGCCATTTGTCAATTTTCCGACTTAATAATGAACAATAAGGTCCAGTTTACGTAGCGTTTTATTATCATGTTAATATAACAATTATGCACGAGTAAAAAAAACATATTTTATATCATTCTCATTCTTACAAAAACGCCAATTAATGTGCACCCATTTTACTAATGGGAATATGTAATAATATCAATATGTCATTAATAAAGTTTGCGTTGAACTTTGACTCGCTTTACGAATTAATTGCATTGTATCGTAAATAATCTAGATAAAGTGACGTCACAAATATCAAGACTCATTCTCGAAAACTCTCTAAACATTGAAGGTTTTTTTCACAACGTTTAGTCACGAAACAGTTTTTACATTGTAATGGCAGAACAGATTTGTTTGATGATGGAAGTGACTACAACTTCAATACACGAAAACTTATTTGTTCCAGGTAACTTTACACAAGAAGCTAGTTTGACCAGACAGAGGTATGCAGAAAGGACTGGACAGACGGCTACCGCGGCGCGTGCAGCGCTGGCTTCAGCCAAAAGGGATCTCTACAAATGCGAACCGTCGGTCTACAACGCCGGTAATTTAAATATTTTCATTACTTCTGTCAATTTTTAACTGACCGTTTGATGAATTTACTTTAACGAATGCAAATCTATACTAATATTATAAAGCTGAAGAGTTTGTTTGTTTGTGTTTGTTTGAACGCGCTAATCTCAGGAACTACTGGTCCGATTTGAAAGATTCTTTCAGTGTTAGATAGCCCATTTATCGAGGAAGGCTATAGGCTATATATCATCACGCTAAGACCAATAGGAGCGGAGCACCAATGAAGAATGTTTCAAAAACGGAGAAAATTTATTACTATTGAGAGACGCAGACGAAGTTGCGCGGGTCAGCTAGTACATATATAATCCTCCTAGCCCGCCCTTCAGAATTTGACTGAGGTGTTGGTCTAGTGTTTAGTGATATTGATTCCTAAACCAAAGATCGTGAATTCCCACTCAGATCAAACAATTGTGATCATTTTTTCTGCGTCTGGGCGTAATTTATCTTTAAAATGTACGCATTATCTTCTCTTCTTACATTCTACGCATATCTTGCTCTGTCATTTGTTTAAGTCACATCTTTTTTCACTGAAGTTATGTTTCTTATATTTCAGACACATTTGCCGAAGTGACGCGTCTCCTGCAAGGTTACATCGAGAACGAAGTAGATATGAACCCCGACAACACTTGCAAAGAGAATTGCGGTTACTATACACTAGCCGAAAACTACGGATGTTATAAGGACCAGTACTGCGTCAAGCAATCAAGATGCAATGGGAGAATTATCGATTGTCAATTCGTGGACTCTGATATGTGGGTCTGTCCTGCGGTAAGTTACAATATAATTCTTTATTATTTCCATTACTAACATTCCAGAGAGTTAATCTGTTAATTGACCCTATTTATATCTGAACTGTCATGTGTGTTTGTTGTCCAGCTAGAATTAATATTAATCACCGCAATAAGAGACAAAGAGATGACAAAACAAATGACTGTAATTATCGTGGCGCCTTTTATACATAAGTATTTTACAAGTGAGATCATGCGATGTATCTTTTCATTAGATTCATAAGTTTTACGCCAATTCTTTTTAGTGACGTTACAAATATTTCCAATAAAGATGAACATACCTAAGACGGAGTGTGTCTATTTGTAATTGTAATGAAAACCACAGAACAAAATCCATAGATATCTTGAATCCTTGACCCCGTTCGTAAGCAAATAATCTATAAATAATAACTCATCACGATCGCACAAATAACTCAAATATTATTTACATTCTCATTGCAGAGTCATTACAGCAGTAGGCGATACGAATATATCGAATACGAGAATGGGCGTGTTCTAGGAAAAGGCGGCAAATGCGACTTGGGTACCACTAAGGTGAGAACAATGACATTTAACTGATACTTATTACTTTGAAACTTTTAATATAAAGATATCAGATTGAATAGAGACAAGCTATACAAATCAGAAATTACAGAGAAAGCCCAGAGTCCAATTAGCTATCACGCTTCAGTTATGTGTGTGTAAGTCTAATGGCTATATATATATATATATAATATGTAAGTATAAACATGCAGTAGATGAGCAATAATGAGATTGCTTTCATTATCACTTTTATAGATATGTTAATAGGGTCAGATAATTAAAAAAGAAATATAAACATGCTATCAGCAAAATGTTCAAGTTATATTTATTAAACTGTGTGAATTAAAATGAACTTATAAACATTTCCGTTACATTACATGTTCTATTACAGTATTACTAGGACTAAGAAACAGGCCGAGGTCTCAGGTGACGTATTTGGAACAATTTAATTGATAAGGGAGCAAACTAAGCAGGACAACAGCACTGCAAAGAGAAGGAAAACTTGAAACAAACCCTATACCAACCCGTCTGGCCAGCGTGGTATAGTAGGCCAAAACCTCCTTTCTAAGGAGAAGCCTATGTCCAGCAGTGGACTAGTATAGGCTGTTGATGTGTGTGATGTGATCTGAATTGATAAGTAAATAGTATATTTATGAAAATACATGAATTATAGGCTGAATATGTATAGGTGGACTCTTGGTGGCGTTGGTTATTCTGGCACTGCTCGTACTGCATGTGCCTGTGCGATGACGCTAGCTACAACTCCCACCGGTACTTCAGTCTGCGGCCATCGGTATCAGACATCGTCAGGAACAAGTTAGTCCTTGAAAGTTCGGCTCACCCGCACACTTTTAGGGACACACATACCACGAGTTTCTCGATAAAGAGGAGCCTTAGAAATAGACTTGAAAAACAGATAATTAAGAGCTATGTTACCCCAGCAAGGAAACCATAAAACTCTGCCCTATTTACAATTTTGACATTTGTTTCTAAGGTCGACTCCTGGTGGAAATGGAACCTTTACCACTGCTCATATTGCATGTGTTTATGCGAAGAGCATGAGAGCAACTCCGAACGTTTCTTCAGCTTGCGAGAAGCGGTCGCTGATATAGAACAGAACAAGTCAGTACTAGGGGCAAGGGGGGTCGCTTCCAACTAAACAAACTTGCTTTACCAAAACCTTATTTGTCGACTTCTATGTGGGAAAATTAGCTTTAATAATATTGAAACACCGTGTCAAAAACAACTTAATACTAAATTATTTTTTTAATAACAGCATGGGGTGTGCGGGTGGTTTAATAATATAATTAAATGACGCATTTGTATTCTTGAAATATACTAATCTGTTTTGTTTTAATATCTATTCAGGGTTGTAACAGGAATACGGCTAGTGAAGGTTGGCCGGGTGTTCCACCTAAAAATCCATCAAGGTACTTTAGTAGAGCGAGGATTCGTGGAATCTTCTGAAGAGGTGCAGGTGAAGGCCTTTGACCCATCCAACGCTGACGTCAAAGACGGGGTAGACTACCACAAACTGACATACGAGCGAAGAGCTATCGATTTAGATGAGTTGGACTCACCGTCAGGATATGTCTTAACGGGTGTCAGGTGAGAAATTAATTACAAAAAAAAAATATTACAGCGCAGAATGCACTGAGCTGTTTTTCAGACGTTAATAACAAATGTCCTAACCTTTTCCAGATTCCAAATGATCGGTGCTCATCTACACTTCGAGATACGTTCGACCCCCTTCAACTATACAACGGGCAAACTGTGGCCAGAAAAAAGCCAGTGGATAAGCAACGATAACACTGAGGGCTCAACGAAACCCAGGTTAGTGTGCTCAAATTTCCAACACTGTAGAAAACGAATTAAGATGCTGAATGATGTAAGGCGTTTTAACTGAAACTAGGTAATCTATACTAATATTATAAAGCTGAAGAGTTTGTTTGTTTGAACGCGCTAATCTCAGGAACTACTGGTCCGATTTGAAAAATTCTTTCAGTGTTAGATAGCCCATTTATCGAGGAAGGCTATAGGCTATATATCATCACGCTAAGACCAATAGGAGCGGCACACCAATGAAGAATGTTTAAAAAACGGAGAAAATTTATTACTATTGAGAGACGCAGACGAAGTTGCGCGGGTCAGCTAGTTTAAAATAAAGTAGCTGAAGTCGTTATTTAAAGCTCGTAATTAAATATATTGTAATTAACGTCTATATGTGAATCCGTGAAAAAAAAATCTTTGTATCCCTTTTAAAACAATCATGACATAGAAAGTATATTATATTTGGATTACTATACGTTTACACACTAAAAACTCTAATACACTTTAGTCTGTTGACTGATCGGACTGGTGTTTGCAGATCACGGATGCAGTTACACAAACCGGATTTACCGACCAGAGGCGACAAGATCCTGAAAATAGACTCGACTCACGACCAGTATATCGAGTTCACGCACAGCGATTTCGATGCAGACGCCGCTCAGAGCACCGTGCCTTTCATTGATGTGCAACCTGTGGTACCTAGCAAAGGTAAACCTACTAAACAACTTCAAAAATGTACTATAGAAGGTGGAATATTTTACGGCAAATAATACAGACAGCTTTGCTGCTGGTATGATGTCGAGTTGGTACTCGTTTTATTACAGCGTTTAATTAAAGAGAGATTTTAACTATAGCTTTACACAACACTGAATAGTTAACTAAGTTTTTTGTTTTGTACATATCCGTCTGTAAAATTTAACTGACATTAAATAACTGCTTGCGTGGCGCAGTGGTAGTTTATGCGACTGCTGTTCTGAGGTCTCGGGTTCGATTCCCGGGTCGGACCAAATGTTTGTATGATCTGCAAATGTTTGTTTCGGAGTTTGGGTGTTTTATATGTATAATATGAATGTTTTTACAAAAAAAGTATATAAGTATTCTATCAGTCAATCTAGCTTTCATAGTACAAGCTCTGCTTAGTTTGAAACTAGATGGAGTTGTGTTATATTTCCAAAATATTGTAATTGGTGTACAATAAGGCATATTCTATTCTAACAATAAGAACAGTAACAAATCAAACAATTTCAATAGTTCGTCAAAATTGGGTTTTTTTCATTGTATTTACTATAGATTTTGTTCTGGCATAAATTCTTGTTAGGAATGTATGTAAAACAATCACGGAGTTACACGTACAAGTAAATTAATTAAAAAAATATTTTGTTTACAGCCTCAAACAGCAAAGGTGCAACCCTAAACAGTGGAGCGGGCGTGTACCACAGGGGAGCTCCCGGCTCTGGTGGTTTTATCGCCGTCAAACTCCTCACCTACGACTACTCCCAACACGTGAAGGCAGAACCACCTCCAGATGAACTCTTGAAGGAAGACGAAGGGTTCACAACCGAAATTAGTAACAAAGTAGAGGCTAATTAGAGTTTAATTTTGTGTAACCACTTTATTTTAATGTAATTTGTGACTTTGATATGTTTGTGATGTTTTTTTACTAATAAATAAGTCTAGTTTTACTTCTAAATTTGATGATGATTTAATTTGACGAAGACTGTATGATTTCTTCTTGACATACAATATTACAACATTGGATGTTTATTTTTAAGAGAATTTAACACTAAGCAAAAAAAAAATCAATAAAATATTAATTAGAAGGGATTTCAGTCCTCATTCATACTTAAGTAAAAGCGATAGTTTCACCAAATTATTTACTAATGTTTTAATTATTATATCTAATTTCGAAATATCAATCGGTCGTTTCTTTCTAATATGGTTACAATAATTATTATAAAAATGTAATTATATGAAAATGCTAATTAGTATGAACATGACAAAACAATGATAGTGTATTTTTAATTCTATATTAATTTTAAGTACCAGAGTTACTGTTTTGTTGTTAATTTGTGGTATCTCAAAAAAACATTAAATCCGACGTAACATTTACAGAGAACTGCATAATTAATTAAACAGAGATTTATTACCAGACATAGGTAATTAGGGCACTTTTATGACTTTAGTTTGCTTGTAAACAGTTTTTGTTGTCTTATTTTTTATATTTACCTAATTTCTCACAAAGTATCAGAATACGTAACCAAAAGGCTGTATTTTCAAATCATGGAAGATAAGTTTTTCGTTTTACACATGTCTTTATTCGAAATTTAATTATAATGTGATATTTATAAATTATTAAATACTGAGTGTATATTTACTTTACTACTCCTAAAGTTATACAGGGTGTAAGGGACGTCGTAACGAATACTGAAATAGTGTATTCAGACCATCGTTCTGAGTCGAAAATCATTGATTGCCGGTTTTTTTTTAGCAATCAGCTGTCAAAGGTTAAAGTCATTTCCCGTAGATATCGCACAAAAGTAATAACTATATTTGTATTCCATGCAAACAGTCTACAAACACTAGTACAAGATGGCGGAAAGGGGGAAGAGCCCCGCGCGTTGTTAGTTTAATTTTATTGCAGTTTTTGACCGTACGCGGTAATTATTGAATTATTTAGGGTAAAATTTTCTGTTTACTCATTGTGATATAATTTTTCATAATTTTTAACTAAAAACATAGAAAATTAAAAAAAAAGAGAATTTTCCGGCAGAAAATTCCAATGATTTTCGACTCAGAAAATAACTTATGAGATCCATACTAAAATTTGCCTTAAACGCAAAAAAAGGCTTGAAGAAAGTTATTTGATTATTTTCATTAAATAAATGTATTCAATTTACATCAAAAAGGTTTTAGGTTCATTTAAAACGACTTTTTTAAGACGGCGACGACGACGGATGTATTAAACATTTAAAACCGAATGTTTTAATATACAGTTAGGTATATTATAATGTGTTTTTACGTAGTAGTAATCAATTTAAGTGGTCAATGTATATTCAAATTGTTGATTTAATTATACAATTGCCAAGTTTTAAGAAACTTTGACCGAATTATCTATTCAATCCTATGACCTGATAAGTTTTTAATCAACGTAAAAAATGATTGTAAACCAAACGATCCTAGTCTAATTGTGTCGTCGATTACTTCAACAATAAAGTTAGAAATAGGTTTGTGTTTTATTTCACACCTCTAAGGTATATAGAAAAGTCTCTAAGGTGTATAAAACAGTATATAAATCCTAGTGAAGTGACCTATCTCTACTAATATTGTAAAGCTGTAGAGTTTGTTTGTTTAGTTGAACGCACTAGTCTCAGGAACTACTAGCTAATTTATCGGAAAGGCTGTATAACATCACGCTAAGACCAATAGGAGTATCAATGAAAATGTTGCAAAAAAAAACAGGAAAAATGTATTCCTTTTGAGGCACGCCAGTAGAAGTTGTTTGAAATCGTCGCAAGAAGACTCTAAACTCATAGATCAACACGCAATAGCAACATTCTTTGTTTTGTCAAATGAGCCTCATGAGAAAAAAAGGGCAAACCAAGTCATAGGTACTCTTTTATAATTAACAGATAGATACAATGGCATGAATAAATATACCACAACACTTTTGATGTGTGGCAGTATGTCCTTTATGAGGGTTAAACGCTGAAAGGCAACGAAGAGAAAACAAGATAAAGAAAAAGTTAGAATATAAATGAAAGTGAAGTAAAACAAAAAATTCAACAAAAAATAAAAACACACTAGCCCAGGTCAGCTGGTTAGTTATATTAACATTTAAGTTGACCAGAAGATATATAGAGATCAGTAGTTAGGTGCTGAAATGTCATTAATACATGTGACCTCGTTTGGAGTCCGATACCAGAACTCAGGGGAGTCATAGGATCGAGCTCATTTTTGTGTCATTTTGGAGTCATTTTTGTGTGGCCCAAAGTCACGACAAGCTCCAATTTCCCCAGGACCCCAGGATCACGACTCCTTCGACCGAACCTCTAGATATGCCCTTGATCTCATTCATATGTTTTAGTGCATCTTCTATCGTTCTCCTATTCCTACAACTGTTTTTTATTATGATATTCTTTTTTTTTTAAAGACAACTCCCACATATACCTTGTGTCTCGGGGGACTTTTAAACATACATGAAATGGACACAAAGAACACCCAGACTCAGAACAACAATTTGTGGATCGCACAAATAGTTTTTACATGTGGGATGGAACCCACAACTCTTAGCACAGTTGGAAGCGGTGAGGTAACCGCTTAAACCACTACGCCATCTGTGCAGTCAAGACGGAGGATATTCACATTGACTATCCGATCCGTTTGAAAAATGTATCACAATTATTGAAAAAATCTATAATCTATGCTCAACAGAAAATAATCAATTTTTAATATTTTTCTATGCCATTATTCTAGCTAAATGTTTGAATGAAAACATGCTAACGAAACGATCGTTCAATGCGAAATGTGTTGATTGCGAATTCCCGTTTCTAAATTACTTCCTTCTACCCTCCAATTTGTAAAATCGACTGCCTCGTTAGTACAGTAGGTAGCGTATGCGACTGCAGAGCCAAGGTCTCGGGTTCGATTCCCAGGCCGGTCCAAATGTTTGTATGATCTGCAAATTTTTGTTTCGGAGTTTGGGTGTTTTCTACGTATAATATGTATGTATTTACTATCAGTCAATCTAGCTTTCATAGTACAAGCTCTGCTTAGTTAGAAACTAGATGGCGTTGTGTATTAGATATCCGAAATTTCTAAAAAAAAAAACCTTGTGGACCGAATTTCCTACTTCCACGTATAAACTAATAGAAAGTTTTAGTTTCTTTTTGTCTAATATAAACTAATATAATATTATACTCCAACTGTTTTTGTTGCCTTTTTATATGGGTAACTAGTTGTATCTGGGTTTTCCTTCCTAGGGTTCACCTGGTTCCCCGGCAACTGGTACCCGAGACGGCGTGCGATTTTTGGTTGGTTAGAGTCCGACATTAACACCGGTGGGTGGTATCCGAGGGGATTTCCGCACAGAAAAAAAAGAGGTAACTATTTATAAAAACAAAAAAAAGACCGACGAGTTGAGACATCCTCCTCCTTTTTTGAAGTCGGTTAAATAGTATTATAATATATTAGAGTGTCCTTGTATGCTCATAAATAGTTTAATTTATAAAAAGTAGGTATGTTCTAATTTAAACACTTATGAACATGAAAATAAATTTAATAACTGTCTGTTTTTTGTCTTTATGGTATAAGGGGGCAAACGAGCAGACGGGTCACCTGATGGTAAGGAACTATCGCCACCCATGGACACCTGCAACTCAAAAGTCACAAGTGCGTTGCTGCCCTTGGAGTCCCTCCCGCTCCAGTTAGCGGGAGGGATGATTTGGGCTCTGGTAACCTTACTCACTCAGTGAAAGGCAACGAAAGAATTGCTTAAAACCGGTTTTCTGTACACTCCGGTCGAGCCGGCCTATTCATGCCGAAGCATGGCTCTCCCACGGTTGTTTTGCTGTTTATGTTAAAAAACTTTAGTAGGCGAGAAAAGTATATCAACGCCTGTAAAAACCAATTTGTAATAACCTCTATCACTAAAGAGTAGACCTCGATACACAAAGTTCGAATTCCACTACCTGATATAATATTTTTGTTCATTGTCCTTCACAAGTCATAAGAATAATTAAAGAATCTGTCAACGAAAATACACCGAATACAATATATTTTTGAAAATTCCCAGATATTTGAGTAAATGTTCCCGAAAATTGGCGAGCTTCGGATAGAAGGAAGTGCACGTACCTGCACGCGCAGCGGGTGCACGGCGAGCAGCGCCAGCAGGTCGGGCGGCGGCAGCACGTCGGCCGCGCGCACGTCCATGCAGCGCGCGCCCGCGCACAGGAACGCCGCCAGGTAGCGGTGCAGCGGGAAGTGGAACGACGCGTGCATCACCTCCGTCTGCGGGACACCACACACCACGTTACGTGTGTCGACAGAGGACCTAGTGTTAGTTTCTTTCACATCTACTTTTTATATTTCTACACTAGCTGACCCGCGCAACTTCGTCTGCGTCTCTCAATAGTAATAAATTTTCTCCGTTTTTGAAACATTCTTCATTGGTGCTCCGCTCCTATTGGTCTTAGCGTGATGATATATAGCCTATAGCCTTCCTCGATAAATGGGCTATCTAACACTGAAAGAATTTTTCAAATCGGACCAGTAGTTCCTGAGATTAGCGCGTTCAAACAAACTAACTCTTCAGCTTTATATTATTTTATTATTATCTCGTATCAATGCAAAACTTGAAGTAAGTCGATATGTCCGTACGGACTTACTGCGTTCGTTCCTTTTATCCTTAAGACGATTTATGTTCACGGTCGTATATTAATCGACAATTATCATTTAAACCTTTTTTGTCAATGTCATCAAGGTCAATTAAATTTATGTTTGAGTTTATTGATTACTTGTATACCCAGGTATATAAATCGTAATGTAAGTGTACTGATTGTATCTTATCGTATTTTTAGAACCCCTTGTCTATATACACTTAGTGAGTACCTCATTGTTGGACGAGGAAAACGCTAAGTTTATTCTAAGGCTTTTTTTTTTACTAAAGCATGTTAAACACAATACACTTTATTGAATAATAATTTTAAAACTTACAGGCTGTCTTGTTTCCTTAGTCTGCAGTGTAAATAACAATGTTGAGATTAATAAAGTAATAGAAATCAATTAGGTAATAGAAAAGTAGATATTTTGCAGACGTTTACCTGTTTCTTTTCTAAGAAGCAGCAAAGACCTTTGTGAATTTAAAACTATTTCGAATAAGGAACCTCAACCGTGGCTATAAGATCTGTAAACTGCACGGATGGCGTAGTGGTTTAAGCGGTCGCCACGCCGCTTCCTACTACGCCGAGTGTTGTGGGTTCAAACCCCACATGGGACGACACTTTGTGTGATCCACAAATTGTTGTTCCAAGTCTGGGTGTTATTTGTGTCCGTTTCATGTATGTTTGTAAAGTCCCCCGCGACACAGGATATTTTCCTAATGCGGGATTCCTTTGTCTTTTTTAAAAATAATAAAAAAACTAGTAAATTGGCGCACCCTCTCCATGATGGGCGCGGTGAAGTGCACGGCGTCGAGCCACTCCTGCAGGTAGGTGAGCGCGGCGGCGATGATGCGGCGTGCAAGCGGCGCGTGCTCGGGCCGCGTGAGGTGCGACAGCACCGACCACATGGGGTACGCGGCCGCCTCCAGCTCGCACGAAAACGCCGCGTAGTACGACGACGGCTCGAATTCGATGTGCCCGCCCACCTCGCGGATGTTCACGTTCATTCCTATAAACGACCTTGCTTTAGCTTTTGATATCGTCACTTGCTACACGTTAGATGAACGTACGACTAAAATTGAAATACTACGGCAACCATAAAACTCTGAAATGTCTCTTTTGAATAATAAATGTATTTATAATAGAAATGTAAAACAATGTTACAAACTAACTAACTGAAAATTTTTTTTTTCATAAACAAATGTGGTGTACCTCATGGAACCGTTTTAGGGCCTACAATATTTATAGGCAGTAGAAGAATAATTTCTCACATTTATCTGTCACTGTACAAATTGTGTTTTAAGGTATCCATGAGCGTTCATACTAGATTTTAAAGTAACTAACGAAAAAGTAAGATTACTCACCTTGCAACATGGACAGGAATTCAAACCACATGTCTACGAGAGCATCGTCTTGTAAAAAGAGCAACGCTACACTTTTATGACTTAGCACATTATTGAAGTCGGACACGAGTGGCCAGTAACAATGTTCTTTCATCACTCTTCGAGTACAATCGATCACATAGTGGAAATTTTGATCTGGATCGTGTAAAGTGTTTTGGACTAATATCTTCCCCATCATGAGACGCAGAGACAGGACCATGACGTGGAGTAGATGTAACTGTTGGACGCATCGCAAGGCTAGAGCTTCGTTGGAGAAAAGCTGGACTGACATATGGACGACTCTGTTCGATAAAGTGTCCGGGTCAGCGGCGTCTTCGAGAACTAGAGGTATGCGGGCGTAGTGCATTACGAAAGTGCGGGTTAAGTGTTCCTGTTAAAAATAAATTTTAATATTTGTAAGTTCTAAACCAATTGCATCCATATGTGTAATACATATAAGGTTTATTATTATACTCGAATAAGTGTATTGGCTTTAGTCAAAAAAAGGGACCTGTCGTCTTTAAAAGTAGTAGACTACTTTTGAAGACGACTAGGCCCTTTATTGAGGATGAAAGCGTCGCTCCACGATAGTTTCAGGCATCACACTCCACTCCCGTTGAATTGGGTATCCCCAAAATACAACACTACAGTAACACCGTATATGATTTATAAATTTGAGTAAGTGTTTATTCCAATATAGCGGTGTGCAGTTATTTCACAAAAAACTAGTAAAATTAAAAAGTTTTACAAAATTTGCATAAACGCATGCTGCATCAAGATAGGCAGAAAGATATGAATGTAGGAAAAATAAAGACATGAAAGATAAATCAATAGTAAGTATAAGAGATATACCTTATAATCCTGATCAGGCAGCATATTAAGTAAAAAGCAGACGACATTCTGCGGAAACTCGTATTTAAATGTCCAAAATATAAATTCGTCTAATAACGTGTTGTGTTGGAGACGAGGCGCCAACGCTGGTAAATGGCGATACCTGAACAAATACATATATTATAATAGTATGGCTACATACAAACAGCAGAAGCGGTAATTAATCTTGATTTAGAGTCAAGAGGTCTGAAACCTCTACTAAAATGATTACACTCTTAACAAATAAATTTTATAGACATAAAACCACAACTTGCTTAGGGGGCTTAATTACAATTAGCTTCTTACATACTTTTCCAATTAAAGTTGAAACGTACAAATGACTACCATAAACCTTACGGGTAAAGTAGTACGGGTCTTATATTTCTTATAATTATTTTTTTAATAATTAAACTCGCAAGTTAGGATTCAGTTAAGAATTATTTAATGTTAAACTCACTCGTCAGGCGGTTCGGGCGCGGGGAACATTTCAAGAGCTTTCTCATACATCTTGTTGGACTCTGCCATATAGCACCCGTACTCTGTTTCCGGGAACGGTGGCTCCACCAAGTTGCGGTACATCTGTCAATAGATTCATTATTAGTCTTATTTAAATATTAGACTTGGCTTAAATTACTTGATTCCTAAAGTACCCTGCTTCTAACGTTTATTTAATTTACCGTTGCAACATATCAGTTTTCATCAACAGTTTAACCGGTTAGAAAAACCAGTGTCAATAAAAGAAAGAAACTCTCGCCGACCAGGGCCTCAATTCTGCTATTTTATGTTAACGCCAAGTCACTCAGCCAGTCATTCCATTGACACACTATTGTGATGCCATTGATACACCATTGACATCGGTCAAAATATCAGTATTCTACTATTATAAGTTCACAGTGGCAATAGACTGTCGATATAGTAATATAGGTCATCAATGGTGATATCAACAACATTGCCGTACCTGGCAAATTAAATTTATCATTTTCTTACTAATTTAAAATGAACGGTTTACCAAACTGTTACAAAGACATCGACAGCATTTGTATCAGTGACAAGTCCTCTAGAGGCCATTGGTCTTACATAGTTAGTAGAATAGGAAAAGTGCAAACCTTTTCACACGACATTCCATCGACAGTCTATTGATACAATATTAAAATAGCAGAATTGAGGCCCAGGCTAGGTATATATGGCCATATGAAACTTCCCAAGTTTCATATACAAAGCGGAGAGAGAATCTATTGTATAATTGTTACTACGTAGTTCAGAACGATGTCTTTTTTGTAGTATGTTTAAGTTTCTCAAAAAGGTTTTATTGCTTTTGGCACTCTCTGGAAAGGAAAATACAATCCCGCTTATTACACTTATAGTGCAATTATATAACTTACAGGAATTGTTTTTCGAGCAGACGGTTTAAAAAAAACGATTTCGTTTTATTCCGATATATTGGCAATTCGTTTTAGTCACAGTCAAGACATTTGTACTTAGTTTGGAAGTTACACGGAACAAATTTTATTTCATTTGATACTTTATGCAAAATACGTAAGAGGCGGAGTTAATTGCCTAAGGCATTCTCTGTCAGTCTACCTCAGGGTGTTTTAGAAATGCCTTCTAAAACTTAATTGCTCTCTCAAAAAAATACTCAATATTGAATATTTAGAGACTTAATAGCGGTCTAATAACTTAATACAAAGGATTTGGTGTCCTCACCTGTGGGTTGATGAGTGCCTTAGTCATGGCGGAGCGCATGAGATCACCCATGTTGTTGAACTCCATCAGCATTTTCACGTAACCCTCGCACTCCTGGACTGTGATTCTATAGCTGTCTGAAGTTGTTTGGGTACCGCTACTGCAACATAATAATATAACCTTTTTTAACACAAGCCAAGAGTCTTTTGGCGAATATCTTAAATATCAAGTGGAAAGATGACTGTGTGATTTAGCAAAGAGAAATAATTATATTTTCAAGAGACTTCAATAAAAGGAAGGAAGGAAGGTTCTCAAGTTGGATGAGTGTTTTTAGGGTTCCGTACAAAAGGTAAAAAGGAACCCTTATAAGATCACTTTCTTGTCCGTCTGTCCGTCGGTCCGTCTGTCCGTGTGTCACCAAAGATTTTCTCAGGAACAGGTAGACCTAGCAAATTGAAATTTATACCAGATACTTAAGTCTATGTTAGGTGTATAAAAATCAAGGTCCTGAGTCAACACGATAAAAAAAAGCCGTGTGGTGTCGTGGGACACCCGATAGGAACGAAGTTGTGACGATCGAGTAAAACTGATTCGACACGATTTTAATTACAAAGCCATGTATGAAAGCGGCTATTACCTACATATTTTTCAGTTGGTTTCTAATTAAAACAATTTATACATTGGTAAAATCTCCTTGAGAAATGATGTCGAATACAATATTTTTTGTTCAACCTAAGAACATAAATTTTAATTTTACTGAGATGAAAAGTAATGATTTCCTATCTATTCGATAGATGGCGCAGAATGACTGACAAGTGACAATTCAAAATAAAAAGTGTCGTTACAACTTTTCGTGAGATTTTTTTCCGTCTAGCCCCCTTTCACAACGCGCGATAAGGAACTTCGTTCCAATATATTATTATTATATATTATTCAAATTTCGATTTTCGCGAAAACTTGTAAGTACCGAAATTTACATTAATTTTGAACCTTTTTTTTTTCAGAATTTTCGCTTTACTTGTGCTGTATCTGTTTTATATTATACACTAAATCAAATTAAAAATACGAATATTTTAATAGGTAAAATTTATAAAAATAAGTTTTTAAATGTGTCCATGTTAAATAACCTGTTAAAATTAATCTGTTGTAATCTGAAGAATACTTTTTTTGTCACAATGGACGTAAGTTTCATTGGTCAAAATTTTGTACAGTATTTCAATAAATTACATGCCATCAGATATATACACAGAGAAATACTGCGTTTGAAATACAAAAATGACTATTTTTTTTATGTTTCTAACTCAACTCGAGGTTCTTGCAAAGAGATACAAAAGTGTTATAACAACGTGTTTGTACAGACTGATGACATTCCGTGTCCTAAGAATTTATTTGTGGATGCTCAAACACAGACAGAATGCAATACAGAAACTGAATGTGTTTTTTTTCGTAAATGACAGTTTTTTTAAATTTAAAACATTCTAAGGATGGCACAAAAAGTAATAATATAAGTGAAATAACTAGTATTTACGTTTTTCATCAAAATGTATGTGGCGTTACTAACAAAAAAGACGAGTTAGACCTCTATATTCAATCAATAATGCCAAAGCTAGACTATATTTGTATTACCGAGCATTTTTTGAACGCTGCATCTGCGTCCTTGTTTCATTTAACTGACTATAAAGTTGCTACGTACAATACAAGGCCTAATAAAAAACGCGGCGGTAGTCTTATTTTAGGACAAACAGATAAAGGGTTTACAAATTGTTCACAGATCAATAAATTATACAGGCCAGAGTCCTTTGAAGTATGTTGTACACAGGATATGAACACTGGGTTGTTTATGTGTTGTTGTTATCGTACGCCTAATGATAAAAATTTTGATACTTTTATACAAAACTTTGAAAAAATGTTGGAATATTTTTTCAACAGGAAGTGCTTAATTTGTGGTGATTTTAATATAAATTTCTTGTCCGATAGCAAAAGATACGTCGAATTTTCAAGTCTTCTACGGTGCTATAACTTTAGGACTCTCGTTAATAGTGTTACTTTCGCTCGCGGGAATTCAAGCTCGTGTATAGACAATTTCATTACAAATCTAGACCAGCAATGTATTAAGAAAGTAGACACAGATTTTAATGGGTTGGGTGACGGCCATGCGGGCTTGTTTTGTGAGTTAATTCTTAAAAATACTAGCTTCTTAAGAAAAACAAGTATTATAATAGAAAAGCGTTTTTTTTTGTAAAAAAAAACATGATAAATTTAAATATTTAATTTTGAATAATGAATGGACTAAAATGGGAATTAATACGTTCATAAATAAAATAAATAATGCGTTCCAGGTTACTTTTAGAAAGAGAAGACGTAATATAATGCTTAACAAAAATAACATGAACATAAACTGGACTACTAAAGGTATAAAAATTTCAAGTAAGATGAAAAGATTCTTGTGTGTAAATAGTGGTAATAATCTTGATAGTAGTTTAATTTCATATAAAAATAATTATGTGAAACTATTTAGGAAGGTCGTGAGAAATGCTAAGCGAAATGCGGTATCAAAACAAATAAATAACGCCAAAAATAACAGTAAACAAATATGGCAAGTTGTAAATCGACATAGAAATAAAAATAATAATAAAGTTATGAAAAAGCTAATTATAAAAACCAATGAGAAAATAGTTGACAATCCTAAAGAATTGGCAAACTTATTCGCCAGGCAATTTAATTATACACCCACGTTAGAAAATAGTAATCAAAATCAGGCAAGATTTTACCTTCAACAAGGCTCTGATAAGGTAACTAATGAGATGACGTTAACTGCTGTTACACCTGATGAAGTCATAAAGATTGTGAATGATATGCCGAATAAAAATTCTTGTGGCTTTGATGAATTGCCAATATCGGTAGTAAAGGAGCATATCGCGATCTTAGCTTTACCTCTGTCTCATTTTTATAATAAATGCTTTGAAAATAGCATCTTCCCAGAACAATGGAAAATAGCAAAGATTATACCATTGTACAAAAAGGGCTTACAAACCGACCCTAAAAATTACAGACCGATTTCTGTGTTACCTACACTCTCGAAAATATTTGAAAAGCTAATTAAAAGCCGTCTCACTAGCCATCTGAATAATAACATAGTTTTAAATCGGCGACAATTTGGATATCAAAAAAGTATCGGTACGACAGATGCTATCAATACCTTAATTAATGATGTCATAGAAAATATTAACAAAAAAGTCAAGGTGGCTGGGATCTTTCTGGATTTGAGTTCCGCTTTTGACACAGTGGATTATGAACTGCTTTTCATTAAAATGGAACATTATGGAATAAGGGGCAATGTTTTAAAGTTATTTAAATCATATTTAAAAAATAGAAAGTTTTATGTAGAAATTAAGGAGGTAGGAGAAAACAATTGTCAAGAAGTACACCGATCACAACTTTTAAATGTCAGGAAGGGCGTACCGCAAGGTTCCATATTAGGGCCTATTTTGTTTACACTTTTTACAAATGACTTACTATCCTATTTGAGCGTAAACAAGCCAGATGTTAAACTCACGGTTTTTGCAGATGATACAAACGCTGTGATTAGTGCAAGTAACCTAAGTTCCTTAAATGTAAAAATAATTGGCGCACTAGAATCTTTTCAAGATTGGTTTGCAGTTAACAAGCTTATAGTTAACACAAAAAAGACAAACCTAATCTTATTTAAATCGACAGCTAGTAATAACGATAGATTAGACGTTATGATTAATGGAGAGAGATTAGAATTCGTGAATTCTGTTAAATTCTTGGGGGTTCATATTGATGCATTGCTCAATTGGAAAGAAGAGATAAAATCTATTGACACCTCAATCTCTTCAGCATGCTATGCAATTAGGAGCCTTCGAGAAGTAGTAGAAATAAATATCCTAAAATCCGTTTACCATGCGCTAATAGAGTCAAAGTTCAGATATAGTATACAACTGTGGGGAAATAGTTACGCTTATAATATAGATAGGGCGTTCATTTTACAAAAAAGAGCTATAAGAACTATAGTCCGCATTCCCCAAATAGAATCATGTCGAGAACATTTTAAAAGTCTTGGACTATTGACGGTGCCTTGTTTGTATATATTGACAACATTGTGTTACTTATCCAAATATATGCACGAGGTTGAAACCCACGAAGAGAGGTTAGTTAGAGAGAGCACGCGGAGGAAACATATTCAACATACAATAAACCCTAGAATGAATATAGCTCGGCACTGTGTTCAGTATCAATCTATTAAACTTTTTAACTGTTTACCGGAAAGCATAAAAAGCGTAATTTATAGGACTTCTTTATTTAAACAAAAACTTGGAGCCTTCCTGTTGGAAAATAACTATTATTCCATCAATGAATTTATCAATCAAAATATATGCAATTAAATACTTAATAACTTATGTAATAATAATAAATATTGTGAATAATATTCTTGAATCATGAAATGCCTTAATATAATTTATCGTTTTTTTTTGTATTCTGCATGACATATTGTAAAATCTATCAAATTTATTTGTTTTTTGATTATTATGTTATTATTATTTTTGTTTTAATTTTTAAATATTTTTGTATTACGGCGAATTGTTATACATTCAAACACAATTATATCATTGTTTGTGAATAAATGAACTATGAACTATGTAAGACCTTGCTTATTTTTGTTACCTCAGTACTTTGCCCACAATTTAAAAATTTTAAGCTAGGAGGAATGATTTTTTTATTTCTTAGTGCGTGGCATGCCACAAGGAATCGCAGCTGACGTTCACGAGGCTTTATTAGGCTATACCTTAAGCGTCTCACCAATTATCGTTCGAGATAATTAATTAAAATTGACGAAATTAAGTGTTCCTTTTGAGAACTGCAGAACCTAAAAAGGACTTTGTCCTTATCACCAAACCTTTCACAATGTTGTTCCATTCGTTCCTTATCGTAATGTTAACTTGTTATTTCCTTTATAACCTACCCAAGTCATGAATTTATCAAAAACGTATAAAATTAAATTATATAACGACAAGAAAACAGATGACATGTTCAAACGATGTTGTCGTTCGCGGCCTCGCTAATTTCAGAGATAAAAATGTGCCTCAGAGGACATGGAACAAATATTTTGCTTTTCGTCATACCTGCAAAACTTGTTTAGGTTTACTTAGGTTACTAAAAGACAAGGTCACGACTGTGGCTTTCAACGACTTACACATGCTGCAATTTTGCTACAAATCAGTTTTGCAACTGCATAAGCTTACGATGGCTTTGTCTAGATAAAAAAATAATAGTTTAAAAAACTAAAAAACACGCTTTTTATAGAAAACCAAACTAAAAAATAGAAAATAAATTTTAATAAATTTGAAAAAAAAGCGTTGGGTGCCTGTTGTCAATAGTAAAAGCACCCCACGCTTTTTTCAAATTTATTAAAATTTAAAACTATTTTTCTTTTAATTTTTTTTTTAATTGGTGTATTGTCATCGGTCCAAACTTGAAACAAACCCTATATCAACCCGTCTGGCCAGCGTGGTATAGTAAGCCAAAACCTCCTTCCTAAGGAGAGGCCTATGTCCAGCAGTGGACTGTTATAGGCTGTTGATGATGATGATGATTGTCATCGGTCCGCTATATATCTACAAAGTTTGAACGAATTCTGACCGTTTAAAGTCAGTCAAAATCACACCCAAAATAGTCATCAGAGAGTTACAAACAAACATACAAGTGAAGCTAATATAAAGCGTGTAATATAGATTTCGTCGTAAATTATATATACATACATTTAAGTCCACTCTCAGTCATAGTACAAGTACATAGAGGTGAATATAATATGCTATAAATAATATAATTGTTCGTTGACACGGTTATAGTAGAAACCTTTTCACGTAAAATCGGTATAACTGGGGCTTCACACCTCGAGGTTAAGAGACCATTACGTCTCCATCTGTTAATCGGATTTATTAATTGGCAGGACTTGGTAACAATATCCAGTTTCGGAGGGTTCTGATATATTTAGGTAGTAAGGAGTGAAACATCTGGGAGTTTTAGCAGTTTTATTTGTTTTTATCTCAAACCCAAATTAACAGTCCCACAATGGGCCTGTAAAGAGCTTCAGCAAAGTTAAAAAAAATAATTGCCGAGCCATACTAAATTCTAAATTGGCAACTCCATGCCCCGCCTTTTTCTATTCTAATAAATTTATATACACCACAACATATATACGTATTTACTTAGAACTTATGACAACACATAATGTTTAAAATAGTGACAGACAGCTATTATTAATAACATCAGATAATATTTTTACCACATGTAGCGTGCGTAGTGAATAAAGAAAAATAAAGCTTTTTTTAGGCTAGATTCTTATAGGTAAGTAAAAGTACCTGTTTTCTCTGAAATGTTGTAGCAAACGCAGTATAAGACGCGGCATCATGGCTTCGGCGACGCACATGAGGGCCGCTGGCACATCTCCGGGCCTTGGGCATTTATTGCCATGATTACTGCAGAACCTGTAAAGGGATTAAAAAAAATTGTAATAAGAAGCAAACGAAAAGAAAACGAAGTATAGTAGCACAAGGTAGAAACGATCTGAACCAGCTCGATTTAAACGATATCCCCTTGGGAGACTGCAGTTTAAATGACCTCATGCGATTTGCTAATTAGATTCAATTAGCTAGTCACATAAGATCATTTAACTTGCTGCAACTAAATTCAACTTAAAGTACGTTTTCTATGGTAAGACTTTATGAATATAACTGTTTAGTTGTTTCTAGCGCTAGTTGGATAACAAATTTGAGCGCAGATCTTTCGCACGGGTGCAATGTAGATACTACTTACTACTACAAATGTGGTGTCAGTGCGGAGTAATTAATTCTACTATTATTATGATAAGACTATACTACAGTACAAGACATCTTTATATTATGCAATATTTATAAGTCCGTTTCGCTCCTGCTGGCCGCTGTCACCCGGGATGGTTGCGATCATTTTAAATCTCTAATCTCTCAGATATTTACTTTAATGGTATGCTGTAAAATACGATTTTGATCTACATTAAATGCAAATCGTCTTTTTTGTAGATCTTTTTATGATATGCAATTCCGTAGTACATTATTTTGATCTATCTCGTAAGGTTTAGCCAGCATTTACAATGTAAGTGCACAAAAACATGTTTTTTACGACTACAAATCTTTGAAATACTCGGTATAATCCGCATTAAAAGCCGTTGCTTAGTATAAAGATCTAAGCGTACAAAAAAGCGACTTTATTTTATACTATGTGAAGATAGCGTTTTAGATTTTATCACTTTAAATTAGCTTTCTTATTTTTATTTTTGTCTGGAACTTAATCAGATTCATTAAGTTTCGTGAAACAGTAGCTGCCTCCACGGCAAGTGGCAAACGACACTGATTCAAATACGTCAACTTGCAAACATAAACAAAGCTCGAAAACTGGGGTAACAGGTAAAAATAACAATTTATTTTTACGTTTAGGTTTTAAATTGGGATTACATTTCTAAAAAGTGGATGTAAGACGAAATTCTGAGATACATTCAATTTACAGTATGTACTTGTTATACGAATTCCTTTCTTTGAATTGTGGCGTTTATATGTACAGCAAATGTTATCTATTAATGTCCAAGTAATTAACAAAGGTATAAAATGTGGCATTTTATTACGCAAATCAGATACTATCTGCGATAGTACAGAATGCAATAAACACTGGACCGTAATAAACATATATACTATTACCATAAAATCAGTGATTACATCTAAAAAATGTGAAACTGTGGTTATTTTAACGTCAGTTTAAATGAAGACGCAACAGGCGCTGACGTCACAGTTTACAAGGTCACAGCCAAGGTCTAGATCTTGAACCAGAAGCAAGTTCAAATGAGGGACGCTCGAGTCGAAGAAAGGTCGCCTCACGCTTGAGCTTTCCATCTCTCTCCTTCTCGGTTGTGACTTAACAATGTAATATATCTCGTTCTATCCCGAATATATGTACATTAATTTTATGTGATTTATGTGTTACTTCGCTTGGTGCTTCTCGACCTTGTTTAACATGTTAGGAGTTTCATATGTATTATTTCAGGTCATAAACTAGCTTCATCATCATAAACTTTTGCAATTACAATCTGTATAAGTAAGATCTTAATCTGTATCTGTAGTGCTAATGTGTATGGCAGGTTTTTTATTGTCTAGGTTAGTTTTATTTTATGAGAATTAGTGTAAATACAATCAAAACTCTATGATCAAGGAGAGCTGATGAGCTTAATAATTTAGGCCACGAATTTGTGTTTCGACAAAAACAAATGCTTTTTTTATGGAGAGAAAATGGGTTAAATTTTAGGCGCTACAGTAGCATCAGGACAATTTTTTTAAAGAAAGATATTATAGAGAAATGAATATTTAAAGAAAAACATTGTGTAATATTTCTTTTGACTTAAATATTAATTAGACGCTGTGTACTAGACTGCAAAAATAGACAATGAGTTTTACTAACAATAAATAAATTTCAGACAGTTACAGTTTTTTAATATTTTAACTCGGATAATTTCACTTCTATAATAGTAGGTGATGGTTACTCCCATGATGCTAAATGTGAATTTACTGGAGAAGAGAGGAGACTTATTGCATTTGAAAGATTAGGTAATAGAATGAATAAAAGATTTATAATGTATCCACTTTCAGCGGTGGGAAAAGCTTCTACAGGTTTTCAAAAATTTAAGGGAGGAAATCGAATAAATAAATATACGGGCGCTTCAGATATTTTGGGAATATGTTATTTGGACGCAAAAACTCTCCCATTGAAATGTCTGACGATTTTAAAGTGACACAAGTAAGTGGCTTGGAATTTTATTGTAGAATCGCACACCCGGAACCACACCCTGAAAGAAAGATAAACTCGGGTATGCCAACAACTAGACTACAAAAAGTAAGCAAGTCCTCCACTTCTTTACTTTTTGTAGTCTAGTTGTTGGCAACACGAGTTTATCTTTCTTTCTAGTGTTAATATTTTGATGTAGCTATAGCTCTTTGTGAATAAATATATGAAGAATAGTATGTTTAAAGTTAATTATGTGAACAATTTGTTGTCACGACACGGGTCTCAAGGTCTAGGGCACGGTCAAGTGCACGCAACGAAAAAAATGAATTGTTATCTAATCAAGAAATATTTGTTTACACTGTGTTTGTGTTTGTTTACTTTGATAAGAAATTTTAGTGGTTAAATGGATGTTTATCGGTGTAATCTATTATGCAATATGTGAAAACATTCACGTGCCTGTAAACTTACATTTTCACGTTTTTAATTGATTTATTTACCTACATATTACTCGGAACCTTTTTCTCAAACTAGATTGGGGTGGGCTTTAAATCTACCACGATATATATGGCTGAACTTCGATTTGTCACGCGGACCGAATGCCATCAGACCCTCCACGACCCAAGTACTAGGCGATATCGAAGTTCTGTAGAAAGACTATTGGTCATTTTAGAGTTCCATCTTATCCACAACGTTTACAGAAGTTCGTATGGCACGGGCTGCGGATTAACGTGCTCTCTGGGCCACGGAGGGGTCTCAATGTGTTAACAATGGTCACCCATCCATAAACTGACCTGGCTAGGATTTCTTAACCTTGCTGTGTTAACCGCTGTGCAACTGCAAGGACGGCGTAGTGGTTTAGTGTTGTGGGTTCGATCCCCACATGGGACAACACTTTGTGTGATCCACAAATTGTTGTTCTTAGTCTGGGCTTTCTTTGTGTTCGTTTCATGTATGTTTGTAAAGTTCCCCGCCACAGGATTTTTTCCTAGTGCGGAAGTTGTCTTTTAAAAGATTACCACTTAGCCACGAGCCCTTCTTAATACCTCAAACATACATAATATACAAATTACGAAGAAATTACAAATAATGACGACAGTTTGGGATCAGACACATCCTTGTATGTTTTGTTGCTGTTAAGATTTTGTATAACTTTAATATCTATCGTGACTATCGCAGGTTATGCCTTATCAGTGAAAAGCGAGTTTACACGATGCGTAATAATATTTATAAAAGAACGGCAAACACGCCTAGTAGTATAATGATGGGTGGTTATGAGATTTGTACAGTTTTATAAGTGAATCATCCTAACAATTTACTTGTAATTCGTCTGAAAATTGTTACAACTAGAATACTAAACGTTCAAGTGTTGTTAACAAAACGTGTTTACTACGTTTTCTAAACCGGCCATGATACAAATTGCCTAAAATATAAATTACATAAAACGATTTGTTTACATCAATATTTATGAATGAGATCACTAGTGTTTTTAGCAGTTAGAACAAACAATTTTTTATTACTAATGTTGACTTGACTATACAGATTATACGAAGTGATAAAGGACTGCACGGATGGCGTAGTGGTTTAAGGGTTGCCACGCCGCTTCCTACTATGCCGAGTGTTGTGAACGGACTTTGTGTGATCCGGACGAGACTTTGTGTAATTCACAAATTGTTGTTCTGAGTCTGGGTGTTCTTTGTGTCCGTGTCATGTATGTTTGTAAAGTCTCCCAACACAGGCTATATTCCTAATGCGAGAGTTGTGTTATATTTAAAACGAAAAAAATATATATTTTAAATCATTTAATTTAAATTCGATCATAACGGTGTCATTTATCAGAATTTTGAGTGATTTTAATGTCACTTATTTTTGAGAGAGTTCAGTGCGGGCCAATCACAGCGTCGAACGCAGTCACCGTGATGATCGAGTATAAGTGAAATAAACTTACACTGGCCCTCGGGTGACCTGTCGACCTGACATTGAAATCATAGCTATTTTTAAATCATATCCGTTTGATGAAATGATTAGTTTTAATCACAGCGTCTTTACATGTGATTGTGATTTCGTCATGGAAAAATCAATCCAAATTTCTTTTCTTTTTAGATTTAGACTTTTGACGAGTCTTGCGCTAATAATAATGTAGCAGTGGTTTTGTAAATCAGTCACAGGCATGATGAAATGATTTTTAAATCATATGATTGTCACATGTGATCTTGATTTTATTCCATCCCTAAAGTCGACTAGTTTGCCTGCAATACCATAAAAAAAACAAGCAAGCAAGATATTTTAAAAATAAGTAGGTATTTAAATTTCAAAATGGAGATACGTAGTAGATAAAAGTAGAAATATACCAATGTTACAAATAATGCAGATTTTATTTACCTCTAAGGTTTTCTTAAATACATATAATGGCTTTACACCTTGATAAATCGTAGCTGTGTAAACACCAAGCGGAGCACTTATCTACATAAGCTACAACATTACAGCCTATATAAAACATATTTTAGTGTTTATTTTCCGAGTGTTTAATGCAAAAACAGCGTTGAAACCCACGCATTTATGATAAAACGTGTGTCATGCATAGCTAATGGTTTACACACCTTTATGACGTCACAATTACTGACATTATTATTCTTTATCGTTTACTATGAGATTATCTACTTTGTTGTAATTATAATAATTTTATTTGCGTAAAATATCGTGGTATAAAAATATAGGTGGAATGCACAACAATAAATCTAAAATTGAACAATCTATCTATTTATTAAATAAAAATGAATCGCCGAAGTGTGTTTACGCGCATAACTTCCGAACGACTGCACTGAATTGGATATTTTTTTTGTGAAAAAAAAAAGTCTTTTTTCATAATAATATTATGAGATTTAAAAAAAATTAAATCTCATAATATTATTATGAAAAAAGAGTTAGTGAATGAGACAGAAGACTGTTAGAGATCTATACTTATAATGAGGTAAAGTGTGTGAGTTTGTATGTTCGGGGGTAATCTCAGGAACTACGGGTTCGAAATGACAAATTATTTTATTGTATAACATATACAACATCATGCTACGACCAATTGTACCCGAGTATCGATGAAAAATATTGTTTACTAACATTTTTCAAAGCACAACACAAAAGGTTACTTCTCAAGGGTGATAGGTAAGGTAAGTAATAAATATTGTTTAATTACTTAGGCCACACTGACTTCCTAACGTCAAATTTTACTTTTATAATTAGTATTTTTCAAGGATAACTTTACAAATAATCACAAAGCGGACAAAAAGAACATCAAAACTCAGGACAACAATATGTGGATCACACAAGTGTTGTGAGTTGTGCTATGTGGGGATCGAACCCACAACACTCAACGCAGTAGGAAGAGGCGCACGGTAGACTGAAAATCGGCTTTCATAGACTTGAGAAATTCAATTTGCAAGTGCCGTTTTTTTTTTGCCGGATATCACTTCTATTAGTTACTACTATATACAAAAACCTTCTTTCTAAGGAGAGGCCTATGTCCAACAGTGAACTAGTAAAGGCTGTTGATGATGATGATGATGATGATATACAAAAATGACACCCCGAGTTAATTCTGCACAAAGACGAAGGAATTAGCTTTTTTTATGAAAAAATTGTATGAAGCTAGTATGAAAAATCTAATTAACTCTTAAACGGCAAGGAAAACCGTAATATCCTCACAGAGATGGTTAAAGTACTAATTATTTATGATAATTTGTCATACTCCATATTAAGGTTATCGCTGCTGTTTTTTTTTTTAAATCATCAAAATATTTTGTTTTTTTTTTGTTACAGAACATCGATGTGAAGAGTGTTTTTGACCCAAATATTAAGAATATATAAATAAAAAAAGAAAAAAAATAGCTGTTTATTCTCTTTTATTGATAATTTAAATAAAACAGTTTATTTTTAGCCTAGCTATTTTTTTAAGTACTATAAATACAATTATACTAAATATTATGATAAGCTCAATCTGTTGATTGATTGATATAAAGAAACAGGGCTCGGGAACTACCCATGACGTGAACGCCCACCGTGCGGCGTGGCGACCGCTTAAACCACTACGCCATCCGTGCAGTCTACACCATAAAAAAAGACAGTTACTTTTGCAGTTATAATATTAGCATAAACATATTATATAGTTACCTAAACTCTAAATACTACTAACAAAACCAGTCACCGAATGACCTCAGAACTGGACCTACTTAGAAATGGCCTAGATGAAATAAAACTGTGGCTGTATGTCTATACATGCATGAATTTTTGGCAAGGGCCACCTCTTTTATGACGCTAACTGTACAGGCTAATCTAACAAAAACAATTTTATTTTATTTTTTATTAGGAATGTGAATATATCCTGTGTCGCGGGGGACTTAACAAACATACATGAAACGGACACAAAGAACACCCAGACTCAGAACAACAATTTGTTGATCACACAAAGTGTCGTTCTATGTGGGGATCGAACCCACAACACTCAGCGTAGTAATAGGCGGCGTGGCGACCGCTTAATCATTACGACATCCGTGCAGTCGATACATCGTGGCTGGGATTGAAGAAATTAATTAAAATTGGTCGCTCCTTATTCAAAGTTAATAGCGGACACAAGTCATTGGACCATTGAATGCTGGGCAGGGTTATTTTAAGTAATAAAATAAATATAAAAGCTTACTTCACAAGGCTGATAGTAGTGATAAACATTGTTTAATTGACATGACGGGCTTGTTGGTCTAATGGTTAGTGACCCTGACCGCTAAGCCGGTGGTCGTGGGTTCGATTTCCACCCAAGACAAATAGTTGTGTGATATTGATGGTTTAAATTATCTATAATATGTATGTATTTGGAAATATATTAGTATGTTTATTAATCTGGTCCTCATAGCTGTGACTAATTTGGGATCATCAGATTGCTATGTGTGAGATTGAACTTATTATTATTAATAATTGCTCAGGCGACCACCACCCCTACGGAGTGTCGCCACCCTTATTCATGCCGTGGATGTCGTAAGACACGACTAAGGGCGCAAACTATAAAAAGAAACACTGTAAAAAGAAGGAAAACTCGAAACAAACCCTGTCCTATAGTAGTCCAAAACCTCCTTGCTAAGGAGAGGCCTACAGTCACGTCACTTTCTACTATTTTACTTTTTTAAATTAAGAAGCGAGTTCTGAGAGATTTGCTTATTCTTGACGAACCTTAAACCGTACCTAGCCCTAAACTGTGATAAAGTAATACCTAAATTAGCAAGAAGTAGTAAATGTGGCGACTCCCACATAAACATACTACAGCGCCATCTAATGAAGACACACCGAACTACGGAGTAACTACTAAAATAAGAATTGCTAATCCTGTATCGCGATATAAAGAATTCCCGCGCCGGTTAGCATATATACAACTTCCCAACATCAACCGTTGGGCCGCGGCCCGCCAGGCATGATCACCTCGCCTGGTCGGAGGATCCTCCCTTTATGTTGGAGGGACATGACACCCAAACCTCCACAGTAAACATTAATAAGTAGGAATTTTTTGTTTAACAGATACACTATTTTCTTTACTGTATCTCTTTCTTAATAGCTGTGTCAATGTTACATGGGCATCATCATGATCTGTATTTTAATGATGTGGACATTTGGACATAATTATGTATTTAATATAACATAATGTAACATATGTATATAATATAATGTTTTAGATATGCTGCAAAATTATTCAGTAGGTTTCTATAATTTACATACTTTATCCTGTATCTCTGAAGGGCTAGGCAGAGGATTATCAAACCACACTCGTCTATTGCCATCAACCGGGACATTTAAGGGGCCGGGGCTAACCAGGGCCTCAATTCTGCTTGAGTGGCTTGGCGTAAACATAAAATAGCAGAATTGAGGCCCTGGACAGTTGTAAGAAAGAAAGACAATGGACGGAGAGCGATATTGGTTATACAGATAGATTGCGTAAGAGTAAGGTATATAACTCAGGTCAGGGTCTCATACTTGAAGCTCAGGACAGGCTGTTGCCGGGAAGTTAGAACCCTCTAACGCACACAAATTAATAAAACTTTTCTTTTATGAAGGACCGCGTACATTTAGCTCTCAATACTCAGGCAATACTCAAATTACAATATCTGGTACTAAGTCAATATTCAAAGTATTTGCCTTAATTTTATGGGTTAATGATAGAACGCAAAGCCAACAATGAGGCGGCATTAGTTATTCCAATGGCGTCTCTAAACAAAGATCAGGGGCAGGTGTCAAGCGGCCTAAAGGAGGTCAGATATTGACGGTCAAGGTGTATGCCCAACTCGTTGCCTTTCTATATAGAAGTAAAATAAAACAGTTCAATACCTGTTCCTTTTTTATTGCTAAGCGATTAATAAAAAAAATGGTACTTTTTATACCCACGATATTTTAAGATACCTTCGATGTGGAAAAAAAATATTACCTTGCCAAGTTACAGATTACATGTAAACAATGTGTTTAATGAACCCACATTATCTATATTTTTTTAAGCTCTGCTTAGTTAGGGACTAGATGGCGTTGTGTGAATGTCGTAGAATATTATTATTATTGTCTTTTGAATGTCTCTTCTATTTGATTGATTGTCTGACATCTACCATGACAAGTTAAATTATATATTGGACCAGTATAGCTTTATTTAGTCGCTTTTACATAATTTATAACTTTATAGCACACATTGTTTACTTTATGCTCTTGTTCTACATATAAACATTAAGTATTCCAATATTCCATATTTGTTTACAAAGGATCACAAAGAACTTTCTTCACATGTTAATAGATTTTGTCTTAAATAAAATATCTTTGCGTTCGGGATTTTCACTTTACCGGAATGGCTTTTGTCACACGTGAAGGCTATTCTACCCCCCTACTCTACTTAAGTTGCCACTCATCGCGGTAATCGAACTGACTAAAATCTCATAGTGTACAATACTGCAACTAAATAAAATGGATCCGGAAACAGCTTTTATTAAAAAAAACAAAACAGATTCCTTCTAGCCTTTTACTAGTTATCTGGTAGTGTTACTAGAAGGTAACACTTTCAATTATACATGAACGCGACTAGCCATAGTGGTGAGTGGAGGGGAAAACTTGTTCCATTTCCCCTCAAATAATTCAAGCGTATATTTAGGATGACATTAATATGTCATATTTTTTAACAAAGTTGTGTATAAAGGACAAAAATACACGAATATGCTTACCCATCCTCCTTCATGACAGATTTATCTCCACAGTCGCACGCGCCGCCCGCCTGCGACAAAAACATGTTGAAGTCGTGCGTCGAGTGGTCGCCGCGGTGGAAACACTCGCGACAGATCGACATACAAGGCGATATGCCGCACGTGCGACATCTGTACGCGACAACACGCGGTATCCACACGAGGCCGCATTTGTCGTGTTTGTCGTAGCTGCGAACTGTGAACAAAAAAAATAGAAGTTAAGAACATAATTTTTGTTTCATCATCATCATCATCAACAGCAACATCAACCTTTAATAGTCCACTGCTGGACATAAGCCTCTCCTTAGAAAGGAGGTTTTGGCCTACTATACCACGCTGGCCAGACGGGTTGGTATAGGGTTTGTGTCAAGTTTTCCTTCTCTCTGCAGTGCTGTTGTCCTGCGTAGTTTTTTCCCTTAGTCGCCTCTTACGACACCCACGGGATAAATAGGGGTGGTGACACTCTGTATTCTTAATCCGTCACCACACGGACGTCCGTCACCACACCACACATTTTTTGTTTAAAAAAAAAATTTATAAAAGTCGAAATTAATTAAAAAACTCCATGGATATACAGCGAACAAAAAGGCCACAACTAATAGACAGCACAAGATGGCAAAGACGGGGTACTGTTTTTAAATTAATGACCGTTGCCTAAGGCCCTTTGCCTTTAGTTTAATATTCTCTAAAAGCTTACTTATACCGCACCTAATTAAATCTTATATTATGAGTAGTTTAGTTAATATTTTTAATTACTATTTAACTACACAAAAAAAGTAGTGTACTTATTGGTGTATTCATATCAGTTCGGTTCAATCAATTTAGATCGTCATTGCGCTTACATCGACATTAAGTGACATTTTGCAATGCTGGGTCACACTTTTGTAATTTGCCACAAAGTCAAAGCCTTCAAAGGCCCACACCAATGTGGAGATGATTCGCAAACACTTCACAATCTTCACATCACATCAACAGCCTTTAATAGTCCACTGCTGGACATAGGCCTCTCCTCTGAAAGGAGGTTTTGGCCTACTATACCACGCTGGCCAGACGGGTTGCTATAGAGTTTGTGTCAAGTTTTCCTTCTCTCTGCAGTGTTGTTGTTTTGCGTAATTTTCTCCCATAGTCGGCTCTTACGACACCCACGGGATGAATAGGGGTGGTGACACTCTGTATTCTGAATCCGTCACCACACGTCCGTAACAATCTTCCTTTCTTCCTTCGTCCTTCCTTTGCCTCAAAAAACCGAAACTCAACCCAATCGGTTCCAAGTACATACTGACAAATCTAGGCAAAGGGAGCCAGGAGTTCTATCCATTTCATTAAATTTGTGAAGACTTTTCATTGGTGTGGAGCCGGCATTAAATGTCAGATCACATTTGTTATTCATATGGCTTACACCTGCGGGATATACTCTTTTCTGTATATGGTAGTTACTGTAATTACGACCAAGGTTAGTGGATTAATAATGGTGAATATTGATACTCAAAGTAAATAGGTATGGTTTTTATAAGTTTTTTCGAGGTTGTTAGTTTTGCTATTGTATATTATGGTTTGTGAGTTATGTTGATTTGTTTTGTTTCCTGTTTTATATCATCACTATTTATTTACACGTGGTCTGAGTCAAGCAGTGGAATAATAACTTTCGTGAGTGGTATTCATATTCATAAAGGGTAAAAACTCACGTATGTATTTCCTACTTATCCCTTCAAAAATGACAGGAGACATTTCGCGTCAATGAACTTTATGCAGTTTCTGCGATTTACACGTGATTACAATCGTTAATCCTTTTCAAACATGACAAGTAGTTTTTTTTTCTGGTGATGAGTTGTATTAATTTGACTACACGCATGGTGTAGTGGTTTAAGCGGTCACCACGCCGCTTAAACCACTACGCCATCTGTTGTGGGTTCAAACCTCACATGGAACGACACTGTGTGATCCACAAATTGTTGTTCTGAATCTGGGTGTTCTTTGTGTCCTTTTCATGTATGTTTGTTAAGTCATATATTCTTAATGCGGGAGCATTAGGAATATATCCTGTGTCTTGTACTTTAGCTTAAAACAAAAAAAAAACATTGGGCGAGTTCCACATTTAGTGTAAAACGGACCAAACTAGCGACATTCTACGACTAAAATGTCCTTAACATCAAAAGATTTTCGTGTTTTCTTTCATTACAATAGTTACTTGCCATTGACGTTTAAATCTAATTTAATACAAAAAAATAGTCATTAGATCGCAAAATTTGATTTCGTTAGATCATAAATATTTATGGAAATGTAAATTCACATTAAAGTAGCGTTATCATTCAAACGAGTCATTCAGATATAGTTTGCTAGTGAAACGTTTTTGACAAACAAAGCATAAATAGTTTAAACACTCATACATAAAGCGCTGAGAAATCTCTTTACATTCACAGTAAACAATAGACCGAAAACTAAGTGCATTGAAAAACATGTGTCATGCCTACACATGTATAAAAACGTTATTGCAGTGAATCACCAATATTATTTCAATGATTGCACGGATTCTGCACTTATGGCGTAGGGGTTTAAGCGGTCACCTCGACGCTTCCTACTGAGCTGAGTGTTGTGGGTTCGATCATCACACGGGACAACACTTTGTGTGATCCACAAATTGTTGTTCTGAGTCTGGGTGTTCTTTGTGTCCGTTTCATGTATGTTTGTAAAGTCCCCCGCGAAACAGGATTTATTCCTATTGCGGGAGTTGTCTTTTTATAAGTAAAATTATATATTTTTGCAATGCCTGAGTTATTGAAATCAGACTGCTCATACATTCGAACATATCGTTTACCATGACCGTGAAATATTTTTTATAGAATAAAAATTGTTAAGTTAGTTTATGTACGCTTCAAAAACTCAAAGGTTCCAATCACAATGTGCCACAGCGATGCGTAGCAGAGTACAGCTAGTACTTATTATAGAATTGGTCAATTTAGGACGCTTTACCAAGATTTTGTGTGCATCGTGCATAAATCACAGGCGTCTATAGCTATCTAAACGAGAATTTAGTAGAAAAAACTATATAAATAAAAATGAACCGCCGAAAATATGTACACGCATAACTTGAAAACGACCGCACCAAATTGGATAATTCTTTTTTTTTTGGCGTTTGTTAGTGTCAGGACAAGGTTTGTACAAATGAAAATGAAAAAAATCGAACAGTTTTTTTTTTTATTCTCATATTCAAGTGAGTAAGTGAATGAGACAGAAGACTTTGAGAGGTCTTTACTAATATTATAGAGTTAGTTTGTATGTTCGTGGTAGTACCAGGAACTACGGGTTCGAATTGAAAAATTCTTTTCGTGTTGGATAGCCCTTTTATCGAGGAAGAATATAGGGTATATAACATCATGCTACGACCAATAGGAGGCGAGCATCAATGAACAAAGTTGCGAAAACTGGGCAAATTCATTCCTTATGAGAGAAGCAGACTAAGCTGCGCGGGTAAATACTAACTGACCCCTTTTTTTAATAAAACAACTCCCGCCCTATCAATAAATCCTGTGAAGAGGGGGCTTTACAAACATACATGAAACGGACACAAAGAACACCCAGACTGAGAACACCAATTTGTGAATCACACAAAGTGTTATCCCATGTGGGGATCGAACCCTCAACACCCAGCGCAGTAGGAAGCGGTGAGGTGACCGTTTAAACCACTACGCCATCCGTGAAGTCAACTAAGTGTCAAGTTCAGTCAAATGCTATCAAATGCGTCAGTATATAGGGATATATAGATAAGACAAATAGATATATGGATACTTATTCAAAACAGAATATGCACTAACATAAAACTACCCTCATCTAACACTTATAAACAGTTTAGTGGGAGAGCCATGCTTCGGCACGAATGGGCCGGCTCGACCGGAGCGATACCACGGCCTCACAGAAAACCGGTGTTAAGCAGTTCTTTCGTTGTCTTTCACTGAGTAAGTGAGGTTATCGGAGCCAAAATTCCCTCTCCCGCTGACTCGAGCGGGAGGGACTCCAAGGGCAGCAACGCACTTGCGACTTTTGAGTTGCAGGTGTCCATGGGCGGTTGTAGTCGCTTACCATCAGGTGACCCGTCTACTCGTTTGCCTCCTTATATAATAATAAAAAAAAACTACTCGATAGTAAAGAATACACGCGCTACCATGATCACGTATTGCCAGCACAATCATTACGAACATGAAAAAATGGACCACTTATAATGTAGAGGCCAAAAAAAATGTTTAGGTACTTTTTATAGTGTACTGTCTGTGTTTCGACAGGCCTGTTAGTCTAGTGGTTAATGACCCTGGCTGCTAAGCCGGTGGTTGTGGGTTCGATTCTATAATATGAGTGTATTTAGAAATATATGAAGGATCAAGGCTTTCAACTCAGAAAAACTACAGGATTACTTGAATATTCACTGATTTATTTTACAATATTACCCCGAATACTTCTCTCCGTCAAACGCTACCGTATAATGCCCCGTTACCGAGGTGCCAACCACCGCCCGACCATTTCACAATGTTGCTACCCTACCAAAATATATGTATCGATATTTATTAATATCGATGCGGATATTAATCAATATCGATAAGGTTCATTAGAATAACTAACTTGTACTAAATAAAAATAAGTTATAACTAATATATAATCACATGAATGAGTTATAATTATTATATCTACTATCATGACGCTTACAGCTCGGCCATCCTGTTCTCAGTGAGTCCTCTCACGTTATACAATTCAATTACGTTATAAAAGGCAAATTATACAATGCTATGGCGTTTTATTAGATAATAATATAGTTTTACAAATCTTATTGTTTATAATTATTTAACATTTTAAAATATAGGACTATACAAAAAAAACAGCGTTACAAATATATTTTACGAGAATGAAATATTACAATTACTGTTATTTACT